CCCCTTTCTCCCCGCCCCCCCACTCAGGACTTGCCGGTGATGAGAGTGACTGGGTAAGCAGGGACCCTGCCTCTGGGGAAATATCAAGGAAACAAAGGGGTCACGGTGAGTGTCTGAGGTGCACAAGAAACTGTCAAGAAGCACAGAACCCATGGGCTGTGTCTACACTGGCAAGTTATTCCGGAAAATCAGCCGCTTTTCTAGAAAAACTTGACAGCTGTCTACACTGGCCGCTTGAATTTCCGGAAAAGCACTGACAATCTAATGTAAAATCATCAGTGCTTTTCCAGAAAAACTATGCTGCTCCCGTTCAGGCAAAAGTCTTTTTACGGAAAACTGTTCTGGAAAAGGGCCAGTGTAGATAGCACAGTAATGTTTTCCGCAAAAAAGCCCCAATCACGAAAATGATGATCAGGGCTTTTTTGCGGAAAAGCGCGTCTAGATTGGCCACGGACGCTTTTCTGGGAAAAGTGCTTTTCTGGAAAAGCATCCTGCCAATCTAGACGCGCTTTTCCGAAAATGCCTTTAACAGAAAACTTTTCCGTTAAAAGCATTTCCGGAAAATCATGCCAGTCTAGACGTAGCCCTGGGGAGCTAACAAGGGATTTTGTCACAGGTGTTAACAAAGAGGAGGGAGAAAAATTGTTCTCCTTGGCCTCTGAGGAAAGGACAAGAAGCAATGGGCTTAAACTGCAGCAAGGGAGGTTTAAGTTGGACATCAGGAAAAACTTCCTACCTATCAGGGTGGTTAAACACTGGAATAAATTGCAGAGGAGGGTTGTGGAATCTCCGTCACTGGAGATATTTAAGGGCAAGTTGGACACCTGTCACGGATGATCTATGTCAGGCCTGTGCAAAATATACCTGGGGGCCAGATCTGCCACCAGATCCTGGCTGCAGATACAGTGGGGAACCCAGGCAGGCTCCCTGCTTGCCTCACCCCTCATTCTGGGACAGTCCCACTCCATTTCTCTTCCAGACCCTCCCCTGCCCCCCACACTCTCTTGTGATCCCCTGCACCACAGCTATAGCCGAGAGGAGTCACTCGCCCTCAGGTGCTCAGATCCCTGTGGGGAGGAGGCGATGGGATACAAGTTCTTCAGTAAAAAAGAGGAGCTCTCCAGTGAGGTCTTCATCACCACAATGTACGCAGCACACAGCGAAACACACACCTGTCTGTCCTGGAGACTGGAGCAAGGACGATCGAGCCGATCCCAGCCGAGCCCTCCCTGCCCAGAGCCTGTGACAGGCGAGACCCTATTTCCACTGGGGGGGAGGGAGAGATGAAGGGCATCACTGGGGGAGGCCCCTTTTCCATCTCTTCCCTGAAACATCCTGGAACTGTGCTGCTGCAGCTCCCAGCCATGCTCCCTGTGTCCTCTGCCTCTCCCCAGCAGTGCCCCCAGCCTTGCTGCACATAGAACCTTCAGCAGAACCTGGGACCTTCTCCTCCCCACGCTGCAATGACCCCTTTGCCCCAGATGCTCCTCCCCACAGCACCATGATCTTCCCCTCCCTTTGCTCTCCAGGTAACTCCCAGCCCCTGCTTTGCCCTTCTCCCAGCTCGTTCCTCTTTGAAAGCTCCCTTCAGAAAGTTGAAGGCTTCTATCAAACACCCCCTCACTCTTCTTGTCTGCAGACTAAACAAACCCAAATCCCTCAGTCTCTCCTCATAGGTCATGTGCTCCAGGCCCCTAATCATTTTGGTCGCCCTCCGCTGGACCCTCTCCAATGCGTCCACATCCTTTGTGTAGTGGGGGCCCAGAACTGGATGCAATATTCCAGATGTGGCCTCATCAGAGCCGAATAAAGGGGAATAATCACTTCTCTAGAGCTGCTGGCCATGCACCCTAATATGTCATCAGCCTTCTTGGCTACAAGGACACACTGTTGATTCATATCCAGCTTCTAATCTACTGTAATCCCCAGGTCCTTTTCTGCCAAACTGCTACTTAGCCAGTCAGTCCCCTGCCTGTAACAATGCTTGGGATTCTTCCGTCCCAAGTGCAGGACTCTACAATTGTCCTTGTTGAACCTCATCAGATTTCTTTTGGCCCAATCCTCCAATTTGTCCAGGCCACTCTGCACCCGATCCCTGCCCTCCAATGTAACTACCTTTCCCCCTAGCGTAGGTCATTGAGTCCAGCCCCCAAATATAGTGTCTTGAGTCTGGCATCTTAGACCACTCGGCCACCCTGATGTTTTCAAAGAGATTCACATCACCACATTCGGGTGCAATGTACCTGTCCATGGCTTCCTCACTCTCCTGCATGGTCATCCATCCAGCAACATACTCGCTGTGATGACACAAAAACGGCACAGAACAAAGCTGCTCACTACAGCCAAGGACACGTCAATCCAATATGGCTTCCGGATTTCCAACATGGCCGCCCTTCAGAGAGTAGTACAGCAGATGGCCGCTCAGCATGGCCAAGAACTTGGATGCCCAAGAGACACAGACCCAGCATGCAACATGGCCCCCTCGCATGTCTACCTCCTGGGCTGACAGAATCCCAGCAGGGCATCCAGCTCTCAGGCTGCGCTGAGGGGGTGGGATGCCAAGCACCTGAGACCTCCCCATCTTGAGAGGGATCCATGCATATCAGGGGCTGCAATGTTAGTAAAGGGGTCTGGATAGAAAATGGGTCATGCTAGTGACCCTGAGCGCCTCCTGACCCCATACCCCAGCCCCACAGTGTATGTGAAGGGAGCAGTCCCAACCCCACCAGCCCAGCTCTTCCTCATTTCTTTGAGGAGCCCTTCCAGATCCTGAAATGAATTTACAGGCTTTGGAGAGACAACACAGGTCAGCGCTGAGTGATTTGAATTCTGAGCGCCCTCTCCAATTCCCCACCCCATCAGATCCTGTCTTATGCCCCCTTTCTGCTTCCTTCACATCCCCTTCCCCAGCCCTTGCTGACCTTGGACACCCTGTCTGGAGTGGTGAGGGGAGTGCTCCGTGTGCTCATCACTTGTGTGGCTCCAAGGGATGCCCATGAGTGGAGGTTTCATTTCTACAAGGATGGAGCCGAGATTGTTCCTGGGGCAAAGGGGTCTGAGATCAGCAGCACAGAGCCTGGCTCAGGTTCCGTGTGTCTCAGTGCACCACATCTCACAGGCCAGCTCTAGTGGTGTGGGGGAATTCACCTGTGGGTACGAGGAGAATGTGAGCGGTCGGTGGCTCCCATCCCCCCCCATAGCCAGTCCGTGACTATCACCAGAAACAACACTGTGTCAGGTGAGCGAGGCCATGGCATGAGAGGAGAGCTTGAGAGCTGAAGTTCAGGGGAGTTTGTCATGAGTTCTAGGGACAGAGAGATGGACATCGTGTGTGTCACCATTAGCAGTGATGTTCACTTGCACATTTCATTTGTGGTTCTCGTCTCTCTGCAGCTCGTGGCTTCCTCTGGTTCCGGGAGTTGGCCGTGGGTGGCTCCTTCTTCCTCATCAACGGTCTCATCTTCCTTGTCTCCTATTGCTGCTTTAGATCCAGGTAACTGGCTTGTTCTTGGAAGGGGGCCTTCCTTCTGTGCCTTGGGTTCTCTCAACAAGGAGACCCATTTGGGTGGCAATTGCTGCCCTTGAACTCCAGTCTAGAGGGAAAAGTTCTGCTGGGAGGTCCCAAAGAGAGATCTGAGAAATGTTCACAGGACCTGAAAGGATTTTAGGCATCATGAACGCTCCAGCATCCTACCAAAATGCAGCTGCTTCTGGGGTGGGGCACGCCCAATATTTCACAGCTGCACAACCATCATCCACACTGAGAGTGAACCCTGGCACTCCAGTATTCACAGTCCATGCATTGCCTGCAGTGATGTGTCTACACACTCTGCTTGTGAGGTATCATTTGAAACTCTCAACACAACAGCCAATAGGAGCACAGCTGGAGGGGTAGCCTTCCTCTGCTAGTCTCTTTTAACGTCTGTATTTGGGCAAAGGAGAACCAGACCTGCCCAAGGCGTGAATAGAAAGGGACCAGGCTTAGTAGTGAGAATAGAATGACAATAAACATATGGGCTGTGTCTAGACTGACAAGTTTTTCCACAAAATCATCTGATTTTTCAGAAAAACTTGCCAGCTGTCTACACTGGCCACTTGAATTTCCACAAGAACACTGATGATCTCATGTAAGATCGTCAGTGTTCTTGCGGAAATACTGTGCTGCTCCCGTTCGGGCAAAAGTCTTTTTCCAAAATACTTTTGCGCAAAAGGGCCAGTGTAGACAGCACTGTAGTGTATTCCGTAAAAAAGCCCCGATCGCAAAAATGGCCATCGGGGCTTTTTTGCAGAAAACCGCATCTAGATTGGCCACAGACGCTTTTCTGCAAAAAGTGCTTTTCCGGAAAAGTGTCCTGCCAATCTAGACGTGCTTTTCCTAAAATGCTTTTAATGGAAAACTTTTCCTTTAAAAGCATTTTCGGAAAATCATGCCAGTGTAGATGTAGCCATGGAGTGAACATGAGATACAAACAGCTATATTGGGACAGATCAATATCCCATCTTCCGACAGCCAGGTACCCCGGAGTGAGTGAGCCATAGAAGTAATCATCAAGTGACCCATCCCCTGCTGTCCATTGCCACCTTCTAGTACAGCATGGCTTTCTAGCCCTCTGCATCCTGGTTGATAGCCCTGGAACAATAGACCTGGAACAGACCTCAAACGGTATGAAGTCCAGTCCACTGCCCTCACAGCAGGACCAAGCACCATGTAGATCATCCCTGACAGGTGTCTGTCCAACCTGCTTTTAAATGTCTCCAGGGATGGAGATTCCACAACCTCCCCAGGCAATTTTATTCCAGTACTTTATCAGACAGGAAGTTTACCCTGATATCCAATGAAACAGAGCTCATATTCTAAGCTAGATACACTAAACAAACTAGTTGCATGTAAGATCTCACCCTATTTAAAAATAAGCTATTTTGAAATAAGATACGCAATTGACGTATCTCAATTTGCATAGCTTATTTTGAGTTCAGCCCTGCCATGTAGACGCACCCTAAGTTGTTTCTAGCTGTCATCTTGGGTTGGGTAGCCAGGAAGAACTGACAAACAGGATTACCTCCCTCCCCAGCCTTAAAGAGGATTTGCACGAGGCAGGAGTCCTTTGTTTCCTAGTGTGACCTCCTCCCAGCTTCTCCTGGAAAAGTACAGAATTCAAGATGGGTTCCAGCATCAAGAGACATGGTCCCATGTCTCTGTTGCCTTTCTTCAGGGGCTGATCCACACATTCATAAGAGAGTTGCGCTCATTTACAGTTAATGGTCTCGTGCTAATGGGCCATCAGTTCTGTTGGGCTTCTTCACTGCTGCACCTAAAGGGTAGGTAGTCACTTCACCCAGACTGAACACAAGAGTGGTGTAAATCTACAGCCTCTCTTCCTCATTCCAGAGGCAGACGCGATGCATGCATTGAAATGGAATAGTCATGTTCAGTAAATCAAAACTTTCCCAGTGATAGGTCACATGAGGTGTCCTACAGAAAGCACGTCCCAGTTCACATCCAAAGTTCTCTTCTAGGCATGTCATCAGCAGGTTTTCATAAAGCGTATTGGGTATTCAGTCACTTCAATGCCCTCTAGCAGGATGGGGCAGGCAGCAATCAGGGTCCCACCTCCGGCAAACGGCCAACAAACATGGGCCTCTTGATCTGGAGTGGAACCTGATTCCCTTGGGAAAAGGTAGACCCACACAACTCCTCTGGGTCTTATCCCATGGCCCTAACACCGGGTCAGCATGGGAATCTGGCCACAGCACACTGGTTCATTGTCAGACAATAACCCGGCTCCCCTGGGCTGTTCCCATGTCATTGTGTGGTCCCTGAGTCCTGGGGTCATTGTTCATCTCACCCGGATAAACCAGGGGTGGTTACAGCTCTTTCTCCTTCTCTGAGTGAGGGCTCTTATTATGGACCCCTTTCCTAATGCGTCCCAGGATTCTGTTGGTTTTTCTGACTGTGGAAGCACAAGGAATGGATGTTTTCAGAGAATTACCCACAGTGACTCCAAGATCTCTCTTGAGTGGTATGATGGACCAGGCTGGGTCTGGGCACTGCTAAGGGCATCAGCTCAGGGCAAATGGCTCAAAACCAGGGCTACTTATAGCCCTCGACTGGAGACTGTTCCGAAATAGACCACAAACCTGTGACACAGAGCACTTCAGCTGCCAATCTGGACAGCAGGATGCCTCATGAGCAAAACCCCTCAGACATCCCAGCTCTCCCTGTGCCACAATCAGCTCCAGGCCTTACACACTGGTGAGAGGTTATAAAACCCAATCTCAACAACTCTGAATAGATCCTGCCAGTCCCAAAGAACCAGCCACAGTCCCAGGTCAATTTACACTTTAGGTCTTACCCACAAGATCAGGCTGGGCCTATTTTAGAATCTAAAATCTAAAGGTTTATTAAGAAAAGAAAGAAAAGGTTGAGAGCAAGATTGTTAAGGAGAATACATTACGTTCATCAATTACCAAGTGTTTGATGCAGGCTCTTAGCAAAGATTTACAAACTGTTAGCTTGAAAGTCTCTGGTGTACACCCTGTATTAGGATGTCAGCAATCCTTCCCGGCTCTCTGTCCCTAGCAAGGCTGCATCTGGAAGCAGGAGCAAGATTGAAAGCAAGATGGAGACTGCTTTATGGGATTTTTATATTCCTCTTATCTCCCAAACTGGAGCTGGTCACATGACTTATGTGTGTTTTCCCAGGCCAGTAGCCATGAGGCACTGGAGGGTCTGCAGGCTTCCAGACACATTCCAAAGGTGTGTATTAGCCACTCCCGAAAGCCATTGTCCTTGGAGCAGTGCTAGTTAGCACAGCCATTCACTGAACAATCCTTCCTCACAATAGGCAGTCCGGGCCCATTGCTCCCTCCCAAAGAGAACATTTACGGTACGGCTGCGTCTAGACTGGCAAGTTTTTCCACAAAAGTGGCCGCTTTTGTGGAAAAACTTGCCAGCTGTCTACACTGGCCACTTGAATTTGTGCAAGAACACTGACGATCTAATGTAAGATTGTCAGTGTTCCGCAAATACTATGCTGCTCCCGCTCAGGCAAAAGCCCTTTTCTGGAAATGCTTTTGCGCAAGAGGGCCAGCGTAGACAGCTAAAAACTGTTTTGCACAAAAAAGCCCCGATGGCGAAAATAGCGATCGGGGCTTTCTTGCGCAAAACCGCGTCTAGATTGGCATGGATGCTTTTATGCAAAAAGTGCTTTTGCGGAGAAGCATCCGTGCCAATCTAGATGCTCTTTTCCGCAAATGCTTTTAACGTAAAAACTTTTCCGTTAAAAGCATTTGTGGAAAATCGTGCCAGTCTAGACGTAGCCCATAAGTACAGAGCCCATATTCATAATTCCACATACAAACAACATAGAAGTACATGAGTAGCATACATAGAATCAGTAGAGCATAAGCTTTCATTTGACACCTCACATGGCTCACTTTGTACAGAATTTGAGGCAACCTCTCCTCCTCCCTCCCTGCATGCAACAGTGACCTGTCTGCTCACTTTAAAATCTAATAACATGACAAGTGGTTATAGCTAATTTCATCCCTATCATTTTATATATAGAGATTAAGTTTTTCAATGAACGTTACTTTGCATTTATTATCATTGGATTTCATCTGCTGTTTGGTTGCCCAGACAACCCAGTTCTATGAGCTCACTTTGTAACACTTTGCACTCTGCTTTGGACTTAATTATCTTACGTAGTTTTGTATTATCAGCAAGCTTTGTTATATGTCTGTTCACCCATTTTACCAGATCATTTATGAAAAAGTTGAACAGGACGGGTCCCAGTACAGGCCCTTGGGGGACACCCCCATTGAATTTTCTCCATTCTGGAAACTGACCATTTATTCCTACCCTTTGTTTCCTGTCTTTTATGCAGTAACTGATCCATGAGAGGACCTTTCCCCCATCCAAGGCCAGATTCATTTCCTTAAGAGTGTCTGGTGATGGTCCTTGTCAAGGGCTCTGTGAACATCTACAAAGCCATCAAGCCACCAAGCAGAGGAGGTGACAAATCAGCTGTCAGCAGGGACTGGAGAAGGGGCACTGGACATAAAGGCTACATCTACATTGGCATGATCTTGCGCAAATCCTCTTTAATGCAAGAGTTTTTGCGTTAAAGTATTTGCACAAGAGAGCATCTACACTGGCACGTGCCTTTGTGCAAGAGATGTGCTTTTGCGCAAGACCTTCCGTGCCAGTGTAGACGCTCTCTTGCGCAAGAAAGCTCCAATGGCCATTTTAGCCATCGGGCTTTCTTGTGCAAGAAATTAATGTTGCCTTTCTACACTGGCCTCTTGTGCAAGAACAGTTGCGTTAGAGGCCTTATTCCTGAGAGGGAGCATCATAGTTCTTGCGCAAGAAGCCCTGATTTCACACATTAGAACGTCAGTGTTCTTGCACAAGAACTCCCCACCAGTGTAGACAGGCAGCATGTTTTTGCGCAAAAGCGGCCGCTTTGGCACAAGATGGCGCCAATGTAGACACAGCCAAAGAGACATGCTCTCCAGGCTGATACAGAGAGGGGCTATGAAGCCCCAAGCTACTTTCTCTCTAAGGTGACAGGAGACACCAATACCTTCTACTTTAGTGGAAATTCCTGAAGGAGAGACAGCTGGCCTGGATGGACCACACAGAATCAGAGTAAAACCATCTAGAATGCAGCCTGAGGCTTGGCACGATGTTAGTATTTAACCTGAGTGTGTTCACTTTGATTTATTTGTAACCCTCTGTAGCTTGGATCCTTTTCACTTGGCATCATTTAACCCAGGGCCCATTGTGAATAAGCTACTAAGCCACGGTGCCCTGCTGACAACCTGTCTCTCAACTGTTCTACTTTATGTTGCAAGACAACCCGTTCCGTGTCCAAAATGTGAATTTCCCCATTTCCCTCAAGACTTCCAGACCTACTGGAAGAGAAAGCAAAATTGACCCATCCAGATGCCCTGACAGTGGCATGGGGCGGTGTCTCACAAGCGCAGTTTTCTTACATGTTGGAGTTGCTCAGGGAGGCGGAGGTGAAAGCTCTAGTTTAGCCCCTCCCAGCCATTGCACAGCGCCGCTAATGGACACACACAGTCACCCTCTCTATAGCGGTGCGGTGGTTTGTGGTGAGCTGCAAGGAAATGGGCCGGGGGCGGGGCCAATAGAACGGGGGGGACCAGGCCGGATGTGACGCAGCGTAGTTCCCATTCCAGTATCCCCTGCCTGCCGGTGTGTGTGTGGGCGGGGGAGTGGGAGCGGGAGCAGGGGGTTTCCTGTTGCTCCTTGCTGGAGGACTCAGCCCTGTCAGTGTCTGTGTGAGGACGGGAGGGGCTCTGGGCTAAGCTCTCTACTCCTCCGGCTTCACTGCCCTGCTCAGAATCCGCTTCCCCTTTTTGTGCCGATCCCTGCTTCGTTCTGTGTCACTGTGTAGCGTGTGGCACAGAAATACGTGGCGGTGTCTGCAGCTGTCAGCGCGCTGAGCCGCAGATAATACTTGGTGCTGGAAGAATCCACGGTGATGGCGATGCGGCCTTGCAGGGACGGGTTGTAGCTCGTGCCCCCGCTCCAGTATCCCATCCACTCCAGCCCCTGGCCCGGAGCCTGCCGTATCCAGTTCCACCCATAGCTGCTGGTGATGGTGCCCCCGGTGACAGAGCAGGTGAGTGTGAGGGTCTCTCCGGGCTTCACCGCGCCCGGGCCGGACTCCTGGAGCCTCAGCTGGGACAGGGCACCTGGGAAAAGCAGGGATCGGTCAGACTCCAACCCACCTGCCCCCCATTCCCCCAACACTTGTTGTCTCCCGCCGCATCCTGCAGAATCTTACCCGGGGCCAGGGCCAGGAGGAGCAGCGGGAGGAGCGGAGAGTTCATGGTGCACGAGGAAGGGACAGAGAAGAGCTCGTGAGGGGCAGCTCAGCACCAGGCGAGCGGACACGGTGGCTGTGAGCGCCCCGGGGGCCCCTACTTCAGTCCAGACCTAGATGCGGAGATTTGCATAAGGAGGGAGCGTCTGGGGGAGGGGCGAGAAGGAGTAGATCAAAAGTACCCTCTGCCTTCCTGTGCCCTTCCTGGACAGACTTAGTGTCACAGACTCCCTCTCTCTTGCACACAGACACACTCACACTGCTCCGTTGCTGCAAAGGAGGCAAACAAAAATACCCAGGGTGACTTATACTCTCTCACCCCGCTCCTGTCTGTCTCATCAGTTTCTGGACTCTGTTCATTCATGTACACAAAGCAGGCACCGAAGAAATCGAATTTTGGGCCCTGGGACTCCAGTTATTCTGAGCCCTTCCCTGTTCCAAACCCTTATCCCTGAAATGTCCCAAACTCAACCGTTATTGATTACTGATGTCTACTTATTGGTTATTGATTATCAATTGGAGGCACAGGTACATAGCTAGGTAGGCTGTTACATGTCTCTGTTGCCTTATTAAGGGGCATCGTGGCACCCAGAGCCCCTCGAGATCTTAGCAAATCTCAGCCTGAAATTCCCAAGGACAAGGGGCTCCCTTTCTAGAGAGTTTTTGGCCGCTGTTCTTTTCCCCATATCCATACGCTGGCAGCAGGGTTTGTGACGTGTTAAATTGGCTCCGAGCGCTTTCATTGCATTCACTGGAGGTGGGTCACGTTGGGTGACCGGAGCAGGGGTATAACCTCGAACTGGCACCAGAATCGCGGCTCCAGCCCTTGGCCTGACACCCCCGTTTTGAGGGTGACCTGAATAAATGCGGATTTTATCCCGGATTCCAGCTTCGTGGTCAAATGTGACACTTTCCTGCCCCGTGTGGCTCTGTCCCATTGGTGAGAATAGGGACTATTTCGATCGCTTAGTCTTTAAGGTTCATGCAACTTGGCCATTGTTTTGGCCGCAGTGAGGCACCGGGGACAGGAGGTTTGTTTGTTGTTTGAAGACAGTTTCCAGGATTGTCCCTGCACCGCACAAACTGCATCTTTCCTCTCGCTCGGAATGAAACTAGGGGACGTATTGAGGCCACGAAAGAGTTAATCCGTGACGTCAGAGCGCTCTATCCTGACAGGCCTTCGCTCTCCTGCGCCCCAGGCCGGGCTATTTTGCGCGTGACTCTGCTGCCCCCGTGCAGCGGACGCGGGAAGTTCTGCAGCTCTGGTTCGCGTACGAGCAGCCGCAGGGTTCGTGTCGCTGTGTCTGGGCTCCTGGCTCTGCTATTTGATCGGGGAACTAAATACCTTCCAAAGTTGCTACAATGAAAACAGCTGCGACCCAAAATCTCATTGTCTCTGGTGCTGGAGGGGAAAGTTCTCAGGGGACTGGCTGGTCACTGCCCAGACACAGGGGCTGCGGATTGGGCCTGCGGGTGTGGTCTGGGCAGAAGGACGCACAGAGGATGAAGACTTCCTTCATAGATTTAAACAGGAACCTCTCTCCCCGATTTGCATGACCTGCTGCTTATAACGCACCCAATCTCCTTCGCTTAATACGGAATTTCTAGCTCAGGGCGGAGTCAGACTCTCCCTCTGTGTCTGTGCAGTGCCCAGCCTCGGGGCGGTAGATTAAAGGGGAGAAAAGCACCTGCCGGGTGTGAGCCCAGTTCTCCAGTATTGAATGTAGGGCCCGACTGTCATCTAGTTATGCCGTCGTGAGGAGGGAGTCTGGGCCCTGCCCTCTGCGGACATCCAGTCAGGGGGTCAGTGCCAGGGGAGGGGCTGGGTCACAGTGTTGCTCGGGGCTGGGACACTCACCGGAGGGTTACAAGTCCGGGGCTGGTGAGCACGGTGTGTCCGGCAGCCTCTCCCCAGGTGCGGGCGGGACATGAGGATTTAGAATCAGTCCTAGGGGGTGACCCGGGCTCTCCCAAAACGCGGGAGAAGGCAGCGAAGGAGAAGTGTCAGGAGTCGTTCAGTGGAGCCGGGATTTGTCCCAAGGGGGCTCGTTGCGGAGGGTGGGGGCCTGCTCCCCCTGACTGGGTCTGTCCAGCCGAGAGGCCGCCCCGTGACCGGCAGAGGGAGACAGGATGCATTTGCTCCAGTGTGAGGTAGTGTGGGTACCTTGCTGATTGCTATGCTGGCCAGTGGGCTGTGGGTGACCTTCGCTAGCTGCTGTCTGTAGCACGGCCCAGCAGGACAGAGGATGAGTCACTAGGCAAGGGTCTCTCAACCTGTCCAACCAGCTATCCCCCAGGGAGAGAAACAAAGGAAGGTGGAATGGAAGAGAGTTAGTTTCTGTCTGGGAGCATGGAGGAATCAGCCTAGGGAAAGGGGATGGAATTTAGGGGCCCAGGCTCCCCCATCTCAAGGGGGGCTGAGGCCTCTTAGGCCTGCCCTGTAACCAGATGACATCTGTGCTGTGCTGTATCCTGGAGAAGCAATAAACTTCCTCTATTCTACTGGCTGGTGGAGTCTGTCCATGCCATTACGGGCGTGCAGGAGATGGGAAAACCCCAACGTGCCGTCTCACTGGTGTCAGGAGCGGGATGCACTGCACCCCATGGATGGAGCTTCCAGCGGTGAGTGACAAGGTGCAATAGAAGCAAAAGCCCTGGAGCCAGGCATGCTGGAGACAGAGCGAAGCGGTTCCGGAGAATTGTGGGGCGCTGCAGGGATGCACGGCACCCCGTGGATGAAGCTTCCAGCGGCGAGCGACAAGGCGCAGTAGAAGCAAGAGCCCTGGAGCCAGGCGTGCTGGAGACAGAGCGCAGCGGTTCCTGGGAATCGTGGGGCGCTGCAGCACTAGACTGGTGAGTCTGCACCGAGGGGCCCAGCGGGCAGATGGCCTACGCCCGACTCTTGAAGGCAGAGCTGGTGGGGCTGTGCAGAGAGAGGGGTTTGCCTGTGCAGAACACAACCAGGGCCCAGCTGATTGGTCGGTTGGAAGAGAATGACCAGTCACGGGGCTGAGATCCTGTCTGAGTGGGGAGCAGCCAGACCCCACCTGGGAGCATCTCAGGCTCTGAGTGGGGAGGGAGCACTGGAGCCCACCAGGGAGATGGGACAGCCTCCCAGGGGAACCCTGCAAACCATAGTCTGCCCAGGGGAGGCTCCAACCCAGCACAGCTGCAGCGGCTGGAGATCCAGCTACAGATGAAGGAATTGGAAGCAGAGGACC